TAGAAGCAATGTCAGCAGGATATGTGAAGTCGGCTATGAAATTTGCTACAGCTTGACCTTTTTCGGCTGGTTTTGGTTGGTAGGAGATGTCAAACTCACCCAATGCTATCGCCCATTTGACATTCGCCCAGACGTGTCAGGACTTTGGAGTGTCTGTCGAAGAGGGTGATTGGTAAGCACGATGATGGCGTGTGCTTGGAAATAAGGGCGAAGTTTTCGAGCAGACATGACCAATGCTAGAGCTAATTTCTCAATGTTGGAGTATCGTGTCTACGCATCTTGTAGGGCCTTGCTAGCGTAGTAGACGGGCCTTTCGACCCCACTGTCCATTCGAATAAGAACAGAACTGACTGCTGAAGCCGAAACCGATAGATAGATAATGAGAGTGTCACCAACTTCTGGTTTGGAGAGCAGAGGGGCTTTACTCATGTACTCTTTGAGGTTTCTGAATGCCTTGGCACATTCCTCCGTCCATGTAATGTACTTCTTATTTCCCTTGAGTGCTTTGAAGAAAGAAGCACATCTGTCTGTGGCCTTAGAAATGAATCTGGTTAAGGCTGCCACCTTGCCAGTAAGGCTTTGGATGTCTTTTGAAGTTACTGGCTCTTTCATGTCGAGGATTGCTTTGATCTTTTCAGGGTTAGCTTCAATGCCTCGTTGGCTAATCATGAAGCCTAAGAATTTGCCAGATCCCACGCCGAAGGCACATTTGTTGGGGTTCAACCTCATTCGATACCTCTTTAGAATGGTGAAAGTTTCAGATAGGTTGGTGATGTGTTGGTCAGCATGTTTGCTCTTGACTAGCATATCATTAACGTAAACTTCCATGCTCTTCCCAATCTGTTCGGCGAACATTGAATTGACCAGTCTCTGATAAGTTGCTCCTGCATTCTTTAGGCCTAAAGGCATGACTTTATAGCAATATAGTCCCCTGTCAGTAATGAAGGCCGTGTGTTCTTGGTCTGAGGGGTTCATGAGGATTTGGTTGTATCCTGAATAAGCGTCCATGAAGCTCAAGAGCTCACACCCTGCCGTAGAGTCTATAAGTCTATCAATGAGAGGAAGAGGGAAACTATCTTTCAGGCATCCTTTGTTTAGGTCGGTGTAGTCGACACACATTCTCCACAAGACCTTTTGAAGTAAGAGACTTTCCTTGGTCGGATTTTTCTTAACAAGGACAACGTTTGCTACCCATGTTGGGTAATTGACTTCACAGACGAAGCCTATGTCCTTGAGTTTTTCAACTTCTGCTTTCATCGCCTCGTATCGTTCAACATCATAAGATCTTCGCTTCTGTTTTACTGGTTTGGTCTTGGGATCAATATTCAAGTGGTGACAGATGATATCGGGAGAGATGCCTGACATATCTTTATATGACCAAGCGAAGACCTCAGCGTTCTCTTGTAAAAATGAGATCAGCGACAACCGAAGGGGTGGTGACAAAGTGGTGCCAATCTTCACCATGCGATCTGGATGGTCTTTGGAGATAGAGACATTCTCTAACTCTTCAGCGGGTTGTGCTTGCTGGGTGAATGAGTCATCTCGAGGGTCGTCGGGTTGACTGTTGCTATCATGAAAATTCGAGTTGGCTTCATCTTGACTGGTCTTTATTACCTGGTTATGTACAGAGAGGGTCTCCTTAGGGACATGCAGGTGTTGTTGCTTAACTGAAGTGTTGTAACATGATCGACCACTAAGTTGATCTCCCCTGATGTATCCATTGCCGAAAGGGGTTGGAAACTTCATCAACAACATATGTGTGGATACCATGGCCTTGAGATCATTGATGCCTATGCGCCCAAAGATGACATTGTATGCCGTCGGGCAATTAACCACTAGGAAGTTAGTGGTAATAGTAGCTGTAGGGGCCTGTACCAATGGTGAGGGGTAAGTGTATACTCCCTAAAGGTTGTACGATATCGCCAGAGAAGCTTATCAGAGGAGAAATCGAGCGATCGAGCAAATGTTCAGCTACATTGAGTGCCTTGAAAGCTTCAGCAAACATGATATTGACTGAAGCACCTGTGTCTATCAGGATTCGTTTTACATCAAAATTTGCTATGTGAGCCTCTACGATCAGCGGGTCGTTGTGAGGGTAGATGATACCTCTTTCTTTCTCAGGGTAGAAACATATTGGATCCCAATTAGGCTTTTGATACTTGCCTCCCCTGATGTCTTCCACGTGAAACACTTGATGACCAGGTCTCAAAGTTCGTTCACTGTTTTTCATGGCCCTATTGGAAGATTCAGACATGGGTGTGCCGCCGCTTATGGAATATATCACATTCACCTGGCGTTGGTTATGGTTATCCATTTGAGGGTGAAGGAGGAACTGAACAATTTTTCCGTCACGTGCCAAAGCTTCAATATGATCACGGAGGATGATGCACTTCTCGCCATCATGGCCATTATACTCGTGGTAGCAACAAAACACGCCCGTGTTCTTCGTGGACTTGTAATCTGGCTGTCTTGGCTTTGGCTTTGGTATCAGGTGAGCTATACTGGGGTAGATAGACGCGCATATAGCGTTCAAAGGTGTGTATGTCTCATACCTTGGGGTAGGACCTGTCTTGGCACGTGATTGGTCCACTGCATTGACTGCCTGGGGACGGGCGTTATTGTGACGATATCCTGAGTTATCGCGATAGTGCCCCTTATTCTTTTTATTAAAATGAGATTGGTGATGATGGAAAACTTTCCTTTTACCCTGGGATTGATATGTTTGCTGACTTGGCGAAGCATTAAATGAGGCAGGGGGTGTGCTGCTACCGTTTGGAAGGTTGAGGTCTTCTCATTTGGTTGGATCTGGCCTCCACTCCCTACCTGCTGATAAGGGGTGACTGTAGGGGGTTTCCCTTGATATGTCCTTGCCTCGGCGGAGGCATGGTTGTAAGCTTGTGCCATCACCTCAGAGTAAGTCTTCTAAGTGTTGGCGTTGATCATGTACTTGAAGAAACAGTCACGTAAGCCTGCCGTGAAGGCCTTGAGGGCGGTCTTGTCATCTGCCTCAACACAGCGAGAATACTCATGGCTAAAGCGACCAGCATACTTTCGTAATGACTCGTCTGGCTTTTGGTGAATAGTGTATAAGTCATCTGCAGAATGCAAGCGATCGGTCTGGAAGATGTGTTGAGAGACAAACAGCTTCCTCAACTCTTCAAATGAGTCTACTGTCTCAGGTGGAAGACGGCAATACCAGCTTAAAGCTCCGCCAGAGAGGGTGGAGGGGAAGAGAAGGCACCGTTCTTCTTCGGTGTGTCTCCGGTATACCATGGTGGACTCAAAAAGGTTAAGGTGTTCAATCGGGTCTTCCCTTCCAGTATAGAGTTGTAAGTCAAGCTTGTGTTTTGTCTTCGCTAGGAGGGGGTGTTGAGGATCCTTCTTGTGAGGGGGCCAGGCCTGGGTTGGTTCCAGTCAGGTATCTCGGCTTGACGTTCAGCCTTCAACTTGTTTACTTCCTCCAAGAGCTGTAGGACAAGGGGGTCCTGAGTGGAGTCGCGCACCACTGAAGTTTTCTTCCGTAAGTCCCCATCGCCTCTTGTAAGTAGGAAAGTTTGATCAAGATAACGTGATTTTTCCTTGGACTCATCACACTGACTCCTAGAGTAAGTATGTCGGAATATTTTCGAGTCCCTGTACCTTCATGTTCTTCTGGGACTTGTTGCCCATTCCCTAGATTGGCTGCTGGCCTGGGTCGTGGAAGAGGACCGAGTCTTTCAGAAACTCTTGGGTCATTGATCTTCGAGCTTATGTGGATGAGATTCTCTCGACGTTGCTTTAGGAAATCTCGACAATCGATAGACGGCTTTTGATCCTTCCACTCCCTCTGTGAAGAGGTGCTTTCCTCTACTTCTTCTGCTTCGGGTTGAAGCAGCTGGGTTGAGAGAAGTCTCATGTTAATTATCACATTGATGTGTAGCTCGATCCCTATCAGGGATGTCCGTGTTGGATATCGGTGACCCTCCGTGTTGGGGGGCATTCAGATGATTGTTGACCTCAGTAGGGGCGACGAGCTTGTGTGCTTGAGCATGCCTAGCCTCGTGAAGCATCTCGAAAAGTTTTTCATACTGCTCCTGGAGGACCTCGTTCCTCATCACTATCTTGTTGTTCTGAGCTTCTAACTCATCAACTTTAGCTTGAAGAGTAACTCTATTTCCTTCCTGCTTTCGTTGCTTCATACTAGGTCCAATGGGGGTGTCATTCTGTGTGCTATGACTTCTTTCGCTCCCCATGTTGGAGAGAGATGTTTGGCCAAAAGAAAGTGTACGAGTGGTGGAAACCAGCTTAATAAAACTGAAGAGAGTGGGAGTAAGTGTCTTTCCCACAGACGGCGCCAAATGTTGATGCACAAAATCAGTGAGGACTTTGGTACAACAGAAAGTGTCAGGTTTGTGACATTCGCTTGGTTGCTTCGATCACTAGTGAATATAAGTACGTAAATGAATAGGGACAGGGAAGCAAACACAAGATGTACGTGGTTCACCCAGATCGGCTACGTCCACGGAGTAGAGGAGTTCTCATTAATTGTGAAGGGTTTACACAAATACATAGGTTCAAGCTCTCATTTTGTGAGTTCTAGTGAATAGTTTAGTACAAAATGACATTAGAGATTATTGTGGGAGAATGATCCCTATTTATAGAAGAGAGTTTATAGTTTTGTTCTAACATTGACACGTGTCGTATTGTGATTGGCTTTTGATGTTGACACGTGTTGCGTTGTGATTGGCTTCTGATGTCGACACGTGTCGTATTGTGATTGGCTTCTGATGTTGACACGTGTCGCGCTGTGATTGGTTCTGATGTCGACACGTGTCGTATTGTGATTGGCCTCCTGGTTGAAGGGAAGCTCTTCTGGGTCTTTGACGGTATAACGTTGACCGGTGCTCAGTAGTTTCGGGATTGGTCAAGTATGGTACAAACAAGTACAAATGATTTAAATGGGCAATTAAGAAAGTTCTTAACTAGTTCATGTTTTATTTCCAGAAACATTTAAAAAGCTAAAACCAAAAGGTATCTTATTTAGTTTAAAGTTTAAGCATACACATAAACTGAATTAGCTAGTAAATAACTTAATTAACGCGGCGACAATTCTTCCGGACTTGTCCCTTTAATCCAGTGAGAGGATTAATGTTCCCCATCTTAACCATGGACTTGGCAAACTGCTGAAAGAATAAGCTCTCATTAGCTGCATAGGTTTTCACCAGCTCAGCTGCTTGCCTTCCATTCCCAGTCAGAAGCACTTGGTCTGAAGGGAGTAGTCCATTTCCCCCAAGTATAAGCTTGAAGTAGCTGTTGTCGAACCTTGTAGGGGAAACAAAGTCCAAGGGAGCAGGTGTGTTGTCGCCATCTCTTCTAGGGCAAACTGATTTCCGAGTCTGCCTGACGAACAAACACTTTGCGAAGCCAATTGTATGCCCTCCTGCATTGATATTGTTTATATAAAAATACCATAAATGTTCAACTTGAATTTGTGTTGCGTTTATATGGTCGTGATTCGTGAAACAAGTTAGTTTTACTCTACTAATAATAGTGTCACATCCTAACTAAAAGCCGAAGTGTTTCACTTTCTCATAACCATCTTTCAATTTGCCAATAAACTTTCAATTCATTTCGAGTCTCTTTAGTCTTGAATTTGTGCCTAGTCGTCAAATTCATTAAATTTTTTATTCTTTTTGCCCATTTGAATGGACAAAAATAACCATCAATTTGTCTGAAAATTTTAACACTTTTGACAACAAAGGACAAATATTAGAAAGCTCAAAACTAACTTGAAAGTTGAAAGGAAAATCAGAAGAGCGTATGAAGTTGAGGGATCGCTTATATATAATATGACTACAAAGGAGAAAATTGAGTAATTATTGGGTACCTGAGAGAGCAACTAGGTCAGTTTCTTCAAGACCTTGTCGCTCGAAGCCGGCTGTTAGGGATGAGAGATCGGGTTTCGATGCTGGAATGTTTCTCTCAGAGATTTCCACGCTTGCAGTTTTGGAGTCCCTTCTTCCTAGTGGCAACACCCAATCAGGTCCACCGCTCTGTTCCATTGCACCACATACATACAGCAAATAAGTTGATCACTTATTAGTAAATTAAATAAGTCATAATTAAGTAATAGTTGGGGCTAATTAGTTTGCTTACTAGTACAGTGGATCCCCTAGCAGCAAGAGCGACAATGTCAGCGCATGACACAGTCAGGGGACATGCTTCTTCTAGCTTGGCCTTGATCTCATCGATCACTTCAAACCCTCTAGAGAATTCACGTTGTTTTGCCCCTTTTTCGCGCCGTATTGTCGTACTGTTGTCTAGTAGCACCGAGGCGTCACAACCCTGTCGTCCAGTCATATCATATTAGCCTTGGCATGCATATTTTATTTACATTTCAAAGTAAGTTTTGATCAAAACGAACCTGAGCAAAGCAATCATGGAAGTGAAGCCTTATCAAAGAGGCTGCCACCCGGGGATCCTTCTCGATGGCCTGCTGTAACACGGAGATGACAATGTTATTAACCGGAGGGCACGACGACTGATAGAATTGTGGGAAAAGACCGTGAGATTCACTCGACCCAAAGTTGGAACCCTCCAGGTGAGCAGCGGAGATCATGGCTGAGACTGTTAGCATTTAAGTGATTTTAGCTGAAATAAGTTTATATTTTACTTGTTTTAATCAGAGCCCTTGGATTACATTCCAAATGGATGGTATAGATTAAGTTAAAATAAGTGGTGTTGAGTGACACATGTAACTATCTCATAGGATAGATAACATGAATGACTGAGATTGTTTTCATTCTGTTAGAGGAGAGAGAAGGGCAATATTCCCTCCTCAGTCAAATGGTAATATTCGTTTTGCTATGTAAGAGAGAGAGAGAGAGAGAGCAACTTCAATGAGAATGAGTGTGAGGCTTCCATTACTCTGAAGCTCTCTGAAATTATTCAATCCCTCTTCTAGAAATTTTTCTTAGATCCATTGAATCAGTACAAAAATCACACAATCGAACATGGCCTTAGAGCCAGGTTGCATCATCTGCAACTGGGCGTGAATTTGTGAAGAGTGCAGCAAAGAACTCGAATTGATCGTCGAACTTTGTTGCTGAAGGAAAATTCAGAGAAGAAATCTTAGTGATCTTGAATTGAGTCTCATATGGCTGAGTCAAGTGGTGTTGGTCTTTGAGCACCGGTATTCAATGGAGACAACTTCAATTTCTGGTAGATTCGGATGAAGACCATATTCCGATCTCATGAACTCTGGGATGTTGTCGAGAAGGGTTTCGCTACTCTGGCGAAGAAGGATGAAGAACTCACCGAAGCTGAGAGCAAGCTGGTGAGGGAGAACATAGTCAAAGATGCAAAGGCACTTGGAATCACCCAATCGGCGGTTTCTGATCAGATCTTTCCGAGAATTGCCATCCAAGAGACTGCACACGTAGCTTGGAATGTCCTGAAGCAAGAATTTGTAGGAGATAAACAGGTAAGAGCTGTGAAACTCAAAGACTTATGCCGTGATTTTGAATATACTAGAATGGGTGAAAATGAAGCTTTCTTTGCATATCTAGTCATGCTATTTGATTTGCTTAGTCAAATGAGGAGTTATGGTGAAGATATTAGCAATCAAAGAGTAGTTCAAGAGTTGCTGATAAGGTTACCTAGATCGTATAATAGTATTGCTTCTGTCAGCATGATAATCCTGGAAAATTTGTATTTTGTTATTACGTTACTAGTTACTACAACTGTACCAAGTAAGCTGTTGCCGTATATTCAAATATAACGAAACAAATTATTACCTAGAATTAAAAGCACAATGATTTGCCTGTAAAGCTGCTTCATGTGTTGCAGCCCGCTGGTTAAAATATCCAGAACGAGGGCAGTGCAATCACAAACTCTAACCTCCCCACCAAAAGCCTTTTCCAAATTGCGCAAACGCACAGTAACATTTGAATACAAGGACAAAAACTTTAAACATAGTAGTGCTTGAAAGGTTCTTGGCGAAAATAAAATTTAAACAGAAAAATCGCCATAGCTCTCATATCAAAGATAAAGAGAAGAGAGTTCAATTCTAATCCAAATCATCCAACAGGCACAACAAATTGATAGATGCGGTGGAAAGGGAGTCAGTATCGGCAAAATAAAACTGCGCAACTCATGCAAATCAGTCTACAGCTGTGACCATAAGCATGTACGTGATAACTATAAAGTCATGTTTCGTACCAGTGGCGGAGCCAGGAATTTAAGACAATGGGGTCAAAAGTTGAGCTTCCATTACTAGACAGGGCATGCCGAAAACGCGGGTCTGACGATCTGGAGGCTGCCAGGCCTTAAATTCACGGTGGTGGGAAGATTTAGCAGGGGTTGGAGAAGAGGCGCTGATGGAGTGATGGCTAACAAATGGAGTAGCAGCTCCTGTTGGACCTTAAACTGCTTCTAGTTCCAAGGATCGACGACAGCAAGTGGAGCTCCAATGGATGAGTTGCTGCTGCATCGAAGAAGAAAGAAGAAAAGAAGGGTTTAGTCCCAACGGCTAGTTTTCAGTTTAAATGCTTTGTATGTGTGTGTGAGAGTGACAAGTGTACACTTCAGATTAGATCGCTTAAAACCCCAATGAAGGGCTAGGATCAAATCTGGAGGAGAATGGGTGTAATATTTGTTTAAGTTCTCTTGTCCCCCAGACTCTTAAAAAATGTTTTGGGAGTTGGCAATGCACCAAACCTTACAAACATTCCTTATTAAATGAAGTGATGGCAGATGCAATTTGCACAGCCTTGTAGTCATCCAACATCTCTGCATTCTTTGTTCCATTTTTCTGTCAAGTTCTAAACCGCAAGAAACTAATCAAACAAACACAAACTTTATCAGCTCCTTCTTCTTCTTCTTGTTTGGCCACAAGGTTATTGGGGTCAAGGAATCCCATTGCCCCCACCTTGGCTCCGCCACTGTTTCGTACCCTGCTGAGAGCTCATCATCAAATACCACATTCTCAACTCCCAATGCGTTAATTTTGCTCTTGATTTCTGCAACCTTGCCGGATCCAATGTATGTCCTCGAGTTTGGAGAAACGAGTCTGCATTACATATAGGCATTAGCAATTTGAAGCTAGGTGATCAGCATCAAATAATTGAGCACACAAACTAGTAACTAGTTGAACAGCACTATACTAGCAAAGAAACACGAAAGCATCGAAACCTACTGACTTCTGATATGTGGAACCAACAACCATAAGTCCAGCCGTATCAGCTAGCTGGGTCAATTCCTTGAGTGATTCCTCCACGCCAAATTAATCCGCTGTGTTGCGCTTGTGCTCAACACCCACAATGTAAGTTTTTTCTTCGAGAACCTGGCGAAAAATGGCAATGAAGAAACACAAAAGAGATAGCTCAGCCTTCCCAACACCAATCAAAACTAGGACTTTTACCCCAAGTTACCACAAATAATTCTCCCCCAAACTAATCCGTTTAAACTTGGCCAAAACATAGTTATTCCCAAATCACATTTTCTATCTTTTTCTCAAGAAACAAACATAATCTCACAATTAACACAGTACAATGAAAGAAAGAAAGCATGAGACCGACCTCCCTTCCTTTCCTATGCTTGAATTGAATATCTTGTATTTATCATTTGGAGTACACTGGTACGTTTAAAACATCACCGTTTGATTTTTTTTTTTTTTGGTTAACAAGATCTTTTGCAAGATTTTAGGAGTTTAATATATTTTGTATAACAATAATTTATGTAATTTGAATTAATTTGTAAATTAATTAAAATTGTAAAAAGTAGTTTGATCAAAGCTCTAAAAACCTTAGATGTATGGTCTAAAAAATCCAAAAACTAAACATCTAGATCAAAATGCCCCAAATTATTAGTGCGTTGTATGGTCAAACCCAGGTTTATTTTTTCTTAGGAAATGGCCGGAATGTGGAATTAACAAATTCTGATTGTTGAAATAATTAAAATGATTGACATATTTATGAAATATTAGCGACGCTAGCGATCAATCACTGGCTTTAGGAATGAACAAGGACTAAAAACAATTAGGGGTGGGCGTGGTGCGATTAGGTGCGGTTTCGAGTGAAATCACAACCGAAACCGAAACTTTTTGCGATGCGGTTTTAAAGCTAAAACCGAAATGAAACCAAACCGTTTGATTCGGTTCGGTGCGGTTTCAAATGGTTTCGGTTTGGTTTTTGAGAAATTTAAAATATACACTTATTTATGCATAAGACGGTCTTATGTCCTAACTTTGATTAATATTAATACTTACTAATGAATTTCAATGTCATAATATTAATGAGTTTTTTTTTTGTCAAATTGGCATGTTGAATTCAATGCCATAAACCACCAGGGCTCAAAAATAGAGCAGAACAAAATAATTCAATGCCATAATCTACTAGAGAACAACAAAACAGAAATAAACAAACGAAGAAATAAAGTGCTAATGTTATTTTGTTATTCCAGCCCCTCAAATTCAATATGACCAATGCTCATTGTCATTGCTCAGTGCTTACAATAGAAATAAACATATCCAATAAATATTTGTTTATTTAGGCTCAAAGGGAGTTGCTTATTTGAATCACATATCCAGTAAATATTTGTTTGAGTTAGTGTAGTCTCCATGATGAAACTTGTATGATTCCCAACCCAATAAACACATATTTAGAAAATGTAACAGCTTGTCTATAAGGGTTCCCCAACCGACAAAAAAAAAAGGTCAGAGAACATGTTTCATCTCGTCCCATATTAAAGATTCAAAACTAGATGATAATGATAGTCTAGTAACCTAGTTGAACTAATTAATAGTTTAAAATATAACATTTATTTATTAATTTTATTATATGGTGCGGTTTCGGTTTCGGTTCCGGTGCGGTTTTGAAAACCCAAAACCGAAACCAAACCGTTTTCTTTGCCGCGGTTCGGTTTCGAAACTGAAACCGTTTCAAAACCGCAAAATCAAACCGTTCGGTGCGGTTTGATTCGATTTGTGTTTCGATTTCGGTTTTCGGTTCCAAGTGCCCACCCCTAAAAACAATACAACTAGGTCCAATTATTTCTTCATTATATATGGCATCTCTCTTGTATGCCATAATTAACAATGGAGCCTGCCTGATAAACAGACTGCATCATGCATGTTTATATAGTTACTCCACATGAACTGTAAGTTTCATTCCATTTTCACAATAGGGAGGCGTATAAGGTGCGAAGTGGATTGTGCCCTTCTCCAAAACCACATGATCATTTCCTGAAGTGTATAATTCTATGAGGCCCGGTGAATATAACGCACACTTCTCGAATAAATAGGTGTCCCGTAGTTCAGCAACCATGAGAAGGGGATCTTTATATTTGAAAACTGTTTTCAAAAAAAACGATATTGAATTAGTAAACAAACCAGCTGCTAATCAAATATAGTAATATTTGAGGAATCGGATGCATGAACACAAATTGAAAAGAAAACCAAAGTTTCAGTAATTTTACCCAAAACATCTCCAGCCTTGAACTTCTTGCCCTCAGTCCACTGGGTTAAGTTAGCATCAGGGCTCCATCTTTTCTCATCCCCCACTATATATTCTTTTCCATCAACTTGTTCGCATTGGAGCAGCAAACAGCTGACAAAAAGGCCTATTCCAATCACCAAAA